TTGTCCTTTTTAGTTTTTCTAGCATTTTTTAAATGGTTTTTTTGTTTTTTTACTGGAGACATTTTGCTTCGAGTTATCAGGAAAGATCAGTGTTAAAAATTTTGGCATGAGGCGCAGCATTTGATGTCTTTAGATACGGCGCACCATAATATTGTTTTTCTCAAACAAAATAAAACAGTCTCTGATAATAGATTGAACTATGTTGCTCAATTTCTTTGTTTGGTAAGTAAAGGACATACAAAAACTTCTGCAAGCAGCATTATTGCTCAAAGTATTAATCATGGACCTTGGACAGCAAGATTAATAAGATCTTGGGCTAATCAATACAAAGTATATGGAGAATTGTGCTTGTCAAAACATGGAAGGCATCAAAAAATAAAAAGCATCATTAATGATGAGGATGTTATGATAAAAATAGCCACATTTTTAAGAGGAAATAAATTTACTCTGAATATTAAAAATTTTGTTAAATTTATTTCTGATGAAGTTTTCCCTTCTTTAGGTTATGAGAAAAGAAAGCAGATTAGTGAAGCAACAGCTCGTAGATGGCTCAAAGTTATGGGTTGGAATTATAAGCCACATAAAAAAGATGTTTATGTTGATGGTCATGAAAGGGTTGATGTTATAGAATATCATACAAAATTTTTAGAAGTAATGGATAGTTATGAAAGATTTATGCCTAAATTTAATGGAGAAGAAATGGAAAATGTAGTTTGGCCTATCTTAGAACCTAATGAGAAACCACACATCCTAGTTACACATGATGAGTCAATTTTTTATGCTAATGATGGAATGAAAATGTTTTGGGGTCCTCAAGAACAGCAACCTCTTCTTCCCAAATCACAAGGCTCATCTATTCATGTAAGTGATTTTTTATGTGAAACAATTGGTAGATTGTGTTTAGGTGAGAAAGAAAAAAGAGAAAACAATCAATTGGCAGAAAATTTAAAATTACCTGAAGAAGCTTGTATTACTATAAAACCTGGAAGTGGTTGAGATGGTTATTGGAGAAGTTCTGACCTTACTAAACAGGTTTATTTATAAATTTATTATTATTATTTAATTGTTTTTTTTATTTTTTATTAATTGACGATCCGTGAATGAATGAGAGAATTTTTGTGTGATCGGTGGGGCAAAAATGTAAAAAAATCACCAATCAATAATGTTTAACAAACAATAAAGCACAACGTTTCTGTATTACAAACTTATTCTTTTTATGTTATATATAA